AAAAGAGGCTCTGGTGACACGCGGCACAGGAGATCGCCCGAGGCCCTGGGAAGGGCTGAGCCATCGCCGTCTGCCAGCAGAACGCCAGTGTGGGCAGCGGCTCCCTTTGCCATCGGGAGTGACCCCTCACCTGGGCTGCCGTCAGGTCCTGGGACACCTCTGCCAGCAGCCGGTTCACCACTCCGCACAGCGGGCGGCTGTCATCTTCCCACAGGGCGCCCTCCAGCTCACGGTACGCCTGCGCTCGGTCACCCTGGGGACAAGGATCGGGCACGCTCGCTTTGCCCGCTGCCACCCATCCCGACGGGACCGTGGCATCGGGCCGGGAAGGCGAGGGAGAATGGTTCACGGCCGGACGTCCCCGACTCACCTCCCGGTCTTGCAGGCGCCGCAGCAGCGAAGTCACGGCGCAGGCAGGGACAGGGCTCGGCACCCTGCTTCTCTCCCTGCGACGCGTACGTCTGGGCACGCAGCCCACACAGGCAAAGAGACCTGGAAGCAAAGAGCGGAGCAGCTGCCACTGGTGTCACTCGGAGCCAGGGCCGAGCATCTGGCCGGCTCTGGGAGGAACACTCCTCCAGCCCCACAGTTGGCGGGGACGGGGGAGGGAGCTTTCCCATTGCTGGGGTGCCGGGGAAACCACGGCGGGCAGCTGCGCTCAGCAGAGCGAGGACGGTGCTGCCGGCGCGGCCTGAACTGACTCTGGAGGCACACGTGCGCTCGGGTGGCGTCACAGCGTGCGGAGAGGTGGAGGGACTCACCTCGAAGGGCTCTCAGCCGCTCCATGACAGCAGGAAATCTCCAGGTAGACGCAACGCTCTCTCTGGTTCCGCTTCCTGCGGGTCCCACAAGCGGACTGAGCCACCGCTCCCACCGCTGCCACGAGGGCGCACGAGGTACCACTGTGACATCACAGCGCAGTGTCACCTCACAGGGAATGGCTGGGGACCAGGCAGCACGCAGGGCAGCCCTGCAGGCCCCCAAACGCAGCATGTTCTGTGATGCACTCGGCTCTGGGGTTCCGGTTCCATGCGGAATTCCAAGCAGGGAATGATCTCAGCTGAGGGAGAGCCCCTGCCAGGGAGCAGCTGCTGGGCACCGCTGCCCGGCACTGTCTCAGTGACTGGGGACTCCATGCCGGGAGGTCCCTCTGGATCGCATCCCTCCCTTCTACTCTGCCAGCTGTACCACCGCACTGGGTATCATCAGCAAATTTGCTGAGGGTACACTTGTGTCATGGAATCATAGAATCATGGAATGGCCTGGGTTGAAAAGGACACCATGATCACGTAGTTTTAATCCCCCTGCTGTGTGCAGTCACAACCAGCAGACCAGGCTGCCCAGAGCCACATCCAGCCTGGCCTGGGATGCTTCCAGGGATGGGGCATCCACAGCCTCCTTGGGCAACCTGTTCCAGTGCCTCACCACCCTCTGTGTGTTGTTTCTACTGCCTATGACATTGATGAAAACGCTGAAGAGCACCAGTCCCAGGATGGACCCTTAGGGGACACCACTCACGACTGGCCTCCACCCGGACTCAGAACCGGTGATAACAACTTCTGGCTGTGACCATCAGACCAATTATTTACCCACAGAATGATTCAGCCTTCAAATCCATCTCTCTCCAACTTAGAGATAAGGACGCAATGTGGGAACACGTCAAATCTCTATTGTAGAAAATGCTGGCATACAAAATAATCTCCTTTATTGAAAAGTTTACGGTTAAGAGTTCAGCCCACATGAAGATAGAAGCTTCACATCTTTTGATTGCTATCTGGAGCTCTGCTGCTACGTTTCTAATAAAATTGGAAACATGACAAACCTAGCTAGCAACACTA